GCCGTGTCCGAAACCAGCGCCGGTGTCATCACGACGCGGACCTGCCGCACTTCACTCTGGAGGCATGTTGAGGCCAACTGGGAGGGATGCTGGGGCGCAGCCCTGCATCCTGGCCGCTGCCCCGCCCGAGGCCGCGCAGCCCAAGCCGTCGCCACGATGGCAGGGGGGAGGACGTGGCGGGGAGGCCCCGCAGGGACGCAGAGAAAGGGGACGACGACGACGACGACGACGACGACGACGACGACGACGACGACGACGACGACGACGACGACGACGGCGGCGGCGGCGGCGGCGGCGACGACGACGACGACGACGACGACGACGGGGGAAGAGAACGGGGCGGAGGGGCAAGGTCATGGGCACTACGGCCCTAGAGGGCAACTCCGCGCGATTAGAGCAAGAAACAGCTGTATGTCCATAAGCTGTCGAAGCTCCTCGCAGAGTTCTTGGATCGGCGCTGGACACCCCGCTCCGGCGCGCGGAGCGTACCATGTGCGGCACCGGAAGTGCCGCCAGGGGGGTCCAACGCAGATCCAAAAAATCCGCGCGGACCTTCGGAAGTTCACGTCTGTGCAGTTCTGTTTCGTCTTCTTCTTCTTACCATCGCTCGGACGTCCATTTTCAGTGTTTTGTTCGATGTTGTGCGCCTATTTGTCGAAAGTGATCCACGATGCTCCTCAATGGTCCTCGCCGAGGCGAAAGTGCACTCGTCCGAGCGATACCGAGTCTTCACGAGAGGTCCCCCGTGTGCCAGAGACGGTAGGCGCCTCGCCGAGGATCGTGGGAGAGGAGGAGGTCGCGAGCCCGTGCCGCCGTCGCCGTTGCCACAAGGAGGCCAGCCGTGCACCGCTCCAGGAGTCGCTGCGGCTCCTCCCTCGCCTCCTCGCACCATCCAGCTCCACACTCCCCTCTTCGGCCTCCTCGCATCCCCTTCCTCAGCCTCCTCCCACTCCTCCCTCGCCTCCTCGCACTTCTCCTCCTCCGCCTTCGCTGCCGCCTGAAATCCTCCTCCCCACCCTCCTCCCTCCTTCTCCTCCTCCGTCGCCCCCTTCGACTTCGCCTCCTCCTCCTCCTCCTCCTCCTCATGCAGCTCCTTTGCCTCCTCCTTCGCCTCCTCCTCCTCCTCCTCCTCCTCCTTCGACTCCTCCTCCGCCTCCTCCTCCTCCTCCTCCTCCTCCTCCTCCTCCTCATGCGCCCCTTTCTCATCCTTCGCCTCCACCCGCTTCGCCCCCCTTCGCCTTCGCCCCCCCCTCCTCCTTCGCCTCGTCACCATGGCGACGATGAGGAATCATTCATAGGGGCTATGGATGGGTGAGGAGGAGGAAGACGAAGAGGAGGCAGAAGAGGAGGAGGAGGAGGGATGCCGGGCGGCTCCTTTCTCAGCTGCTTCAGCGGGCACGGCCCTGGGAAGGAGTACCACATGGGCTGCCTGCACCCGTTTGGGTCGTCCTGCGGGTGAAGGAGGCGGAGAAGAAAGACGATGAGGAGATGGAGGATGAGTAAGAGGAGGAGGAAGAGGAGGAGGAGGAGGAGGAGGAGGACGACGACGAGAGGGAGGAGGAGACGAGCGTACATGTAGAAAAGGGCCTGTCAACACCTGCGTGTTAATCTGCGCAGGTCCGCCCGCCCTCGCAGGGGAGGATGAACAATGGCGGAAGCCTCAACAATGAAGCCAACAACCAAGGAAACGAACGGCGACGAGCGCGATCAAGTAGGCGCAGGACAGCCACAGACTCTCAGCTGGGCCAGTGCGTAGTCCTGCAATGGCCGGCGCTGTCATGCCACACCTCGTCAAAGCTCTCCGCACCCAATGAGGCCCGGTGGCTCGCCAGGCCGAAGCCACTCGCGTGCGACTCATCGCCCAGCGGCGGCTCTCCCAGAAGAGGAGGAGGAGGAGGAGAGGGAAGAGGAGGAGGAGGAGGAGGAGGGAGAGCACAAGGGAGGAAGGAGGAGAAGGAAGAGGGATGTGCAGGACGAGGGACATGATGGAGGGAGGGGAGGGGACGCAAGCGGATAACAATGTCCTCTTTCAATTCCCTGACCTCCTCTCTCCGCCAATTGTCCGCTCGCCCCGGCGCAACTCCCACCGCTCGCTCCCCCGAAGATGGCCGCGGAATGGCCCGCCCCCCTCCGCGTACCGTTTGTTTACAAACAGAATCTTCAAAATTTGTCATTCCTGCGTATGTTCTTTTCTATCGGAGCGTCTCACTGTAGGATCGGCACTTTGCTCCCATCGTTCAGAAAGGCGCGATCGCCCTAGCGCGGGAGTCTTTTCTGGATCCGAGTGTTTCCTCATCGTTGTCGCCCCGCTTGATTATTCTCCCTCGCCTTCCCCTAGTCATTCTGCTCCTCCCGCCTTTCCCAGTTCTGCTCCTGCTGCTGCTGTTCCTCCTCGTCCTCCCCCTGCTAATCCGCCACATCCTGCTGGAATTTACGCAGTTCCCGTTTTGTGATTGAGCATGACACAATGGGGTGCTTTCGGGGGTCCGAAGTCCGCAATGACACCAGTCGGCGGATATGGAAAAACAAAGCAACAGGAAGGGATGGGTGGGAGGGATAGGGCGTCAGATATGGCACAAGCGCACATAGCTTGGCCTTTTCCATCTCCCTGTTCCATCCTCTTGCCCCGATCCGAAGTCCGCAATGTCACCCGTCGGCAGATGTATAACAAACACAGCAATGGGAAGACGTGGGTGGGAAGGATAGGACGTCAGATATGACACAAGCGTACATGGCGGATTCCTGCAACCCTGAGCCCAACAACGTTTTCATCTCCTGAGAGGCCGACTTTTTACTTCCACCGCCTTCCGCCAGCCTTCCGCCGCCTTCCGCTGGCTTCCGCCGGCGGAGGAGGCCTCGTTTCACTTCTGCCAGCCTTCCGCCGCCCTTCCGCCGAGGAAGAGATGGCAACTCCTGTGATCCTCGAAGGCAAGGCCATTTCTGGAACGCTCCACACAGCTTGACCTTTTCCCCTCTCCCTCTTGCATCCTCTTGCCCCGATTGTCCCCCCTCCGCCTACCGACCTCATCCTCCATCAGCCCCTTCCCCTCTCCTGCCCCCCTCCCTCCTGCCCTCCCTCCTGCCCTCTCCTCTGCCCCAATCCCCCCTCCCTCCCTCATCTCAATCCCTCCTTCCCACCTCCCTTCACCGCTGACCTTCCTTCGTCCGCGCCCCCCCTTCCCACCCCGCTCCACCGTCCCTGGTCTCAGAAGAAGGAGCGCTGGCCTCAGACGTGTGGCAACATACCCTGATAAGCTGGCAACAACTTCAGGAGCTCTGGAAACGGAACGAAGCTAAGACGCTGGCTTGGGCCATCACGCAATCGTAACTGTCTTAACCCAGCACCTCTGGTGTACGGCAAACTCCTGCCTGCGCGACGTGGGTCCCGGTCTCTGACACCGCGGCGGGAACCGTGCCCTGAAAAATCTGCGCTCTCGGGGGTCCCCAGAGGCTGCCAACCCCGTCTCTCGAACGCCCTCGCGCCGCGGGTTGCTCTGTGGATCACCACGCCCGAGGCGGGCCTCTGCAGGGTGCTCGGCCCGTGCCCGCGTCGCCGCTGCGCCGAGGCGTCGCGCACGTGCCTCCCCGACGTCGACCCCCCCAACAATCCCACCCCTCCCCCCTCCTCTTCGGGGTGCACGACAAGGGGGGGGGCGGGGGGGCACCCTCCCCCCTTTCGCGGTTCACGACCAAGGTGAGAAGGTCCAGCGCAGGGGCGCGGAGTGCCCCCCCCCCCCCACCCCCACCCCCTTGCGGGGTGCACGACAGGGAGGGGGGGGTGGCCAGCGAAGGGTCGCGGGCTGGGAATCAGCCGCACGCAGGTAGCTTCGGCGGCGCCTCCCGGCGCCGTGCAGCAACCATGCCGCAAAGGAGATGGAAAGCTGCGCCATGGCCGAAACCATCTGCACGGATCGAACTTGGTCCGTTCCAAAAACCCTCAATCCAAACACCTGTGCACCTCTTGAAGGGCAGACTTGCGTCCGCCCGCTTCCGCCGGCCTTCCGCCGGCGGAGCCGCCACCGTTTTGCTTCCGCCGCTTTTTGCAGAGGGCGAGATGTCAACCTCATTGATCCCTCGACGGCGGGGCCGTTTCTGGAGCGCCCCATTTCGTATCCTCGCCCTTTCCCACCCCGCTTTTTCGCCCTCCCCGACAGCAGTCGCTGCTCCAAATGGGCCGGCTTCCATTCCTCCCCATTCGATCCGCCCCAATTCGTTTGTTCGTCCCCATTCGTTCCGTCCCAGGTTCAATCGTACCGATGTCTGTCCCATGACGTCCGTTGCCTCGATTGTTGTAACATGGACTTCCGAAAAATCCGCACCTTTCCATCCTGAGTCTTGTTCGGCCCAGCGGGGACCCCCAGAGGCCCAACACGACGAACACCTCTGCCAGCCTGTCTGTCAAGAGGTTGGATGTCTGGGTCTCGCCCTCCCCGGCTCTCATCCCCACTCGTGCAATCATCTTGCTACCAAGAAAGACGCTACACACGGGAGGACCGAAGGCCCTTCTCTGGCCTCGGCGAGTCTCGGGCACGAACATGCTCTCCGACCCAGACCCGAGGAACGGCGCGAAGAGCAGAGCCCCTCCCGAACCCAACAGGGCTCCTCATTTCGGCGTCTCAACTGCACCGGCTTCTGTGCGGGTGCTGCTTGGAGTGGCTCTACCCAAGAGGTGCCCCCCAGCTTCTCGCGCCGCTTGGGAGCCCCATGGGTTCCTCTGCGTCTCGTGCGGGTTACTATGGTCGGGCGTGAGTTAATGAGGGGCGATCGTTGGCGGGGGGGTGGGAGAAGAAACGTGCACCTTCTGTATCCCAGGGGGCACCTTTAGGGCTCGTTTAAGGCCGCACCTAGAGCCCCGTTAGGGCACACAAGGTGCACCTTTCCTCTCCACCCGTGTATCGCCCCCCCGTTACCCGACGCCCGATATGGAGGCCATCGGAGCCTTCCCGGGAATCTGGGGAGCATCGCGGGCCAGGGGCACCTTCGGCAACACACTGTCCGTCCTCTCCGACTCTTTGCGCCCCCCCGCCCGCGCGGGGGCGGGCTCATTGCAGCGCTCGGGGATCAGCGAGTTGGCCTCTGACTGATACGCGGACCTGTGGGAGGGGCGCCCCAGGCGGGCAAAAGCCCAGGGGGGTGGGCAGTGGAGACAGTGGTCCTCCTGGTCCCCCTCCTTCTCCTCCTTCCTCATCCTTCCTCTTCCTCACTTCCTTCCTTCCTCCCCTCTGAGGGGCAACGATAGGGGGGACTGGCACCAGGAGGGGAAACAGGGAAACATCGACCTGGAATCGGCGATCCATCGCCGAAAGATCGGCGATGGAGCCCCGAAAGTGAGTCCGCAAGATCCTGGGCGGGGTGGGGATATCAGACCCCAATCAGCGATCAATTTGCGACTGGGGATCGATGAATCCCCACCCTGTGCCCATCTCCCCCTCGCGTTGCCCCCTGGTTTTGGGCCATACCTCGGGTCTCCGGCGACCGTCCGGGATGATCCGGGCACCCCCGGAACGCCCTCGGCGAGGCGCAGCCGCTGGAGAGCACCCCGAGGCCAGGAAGCCGCCGCGAGCCCATGGCAACGCCCGGACACCTTGAGCACTCGCCGCGCTCGCAGACGCCTCCCCTGCGGGACCGGCGGCCGTGGTAGAGAGGCCGCCCGCAGGGGCGTCAAGGCATCGCCCCAGGCCTCGAGCTGAGCAGCGTCTTTTTCGCGTTCGTTTTGCTTCGCTTTCCCTCGCTCTGTCTTCGCTCCGCCTCCTCAGAGATCCGAACACATGATGTCTTCCATCCGGTGGTTTTTTTGGGGGGGATTTTCGGCCTCCGGGGCCCTTTCCCAGGCCGGGCAATCAAAAATGGATCCGGGACGCAAAACCATGGAAAAGGTCGTTCTGTCTTGATTGCGCCCGCTCTGGCTGCGAAAAGACCCTGAGATACTGGCGTCTCAACTTTTTCGAAGTGGGCGTGTTTGCCTTCTTCTGGGTTCCGGGACCCTTGCAGATTGATCCGTCTCGAAAAATGACGCAGTATGATGGGGTCAGGGTTCCAGGCGTGATTTTCTATATGCTGCATTTTTCGCTACGTCGGACCCCAGGGAACTAAGTCAAAACGAAACGGTCCACGAAAACTCCGAAACAACGTTCAACTGGAGCCCTGCATCGCACCAGCGGGTCCACGCTGCATCCGCCGCTGCCCCTTTTGTCGTGGCGACTTGCGCTTTTTAGCCTCTGCTGACACCGCGCGGCTCCTTCGACCTTGAACGATCGCGGATTTCAGATGCCTCGGATGGATCGTTCGATGTTGGCCCAATCCCGACCACTGGCGGCGTTCAACCATGCCAGCTGTGCTGGGGTCGTCGCCGCGTCGACGCGGTACGAACCGACCGTATGCACAGCTGCTGGCGAGGAGGCATCTCAACAGCTGAACCCAGTGGTGATGTGGAGGAGCGACCGTGCCGAGGGGGGATGTGGGGGAGGGGGAGGAGCAGGGAGAGCAGGAGCAGGACGAGTAGGGGGAAGGTGAGCGCGGAGCTGAAACCGACATGGGCCTGCCCGCACGCCCCAGCTGGGCTCAGATGGCCTGGCCCCCGGAGAGGGTCCCGCAGCTACCTTCCCTTCTCTGGCCTTCTGCAACGCGCTCGCACGACCAGCTCCACAGAGCTTTCCAGCTCCCAGAGGGGAGGTGCCCACCCCGCCATCGCTCGGACGCCCATTCCCCGTGCACTTCTCGGCTTCGTGCGCTTACTTTCCGCAAGGCGATCCAAGATGCTCCTGGATGGTCCTCGCCGAGAGAAAGTGCACAGGTCCACCCGCCGCGCGCAGCGCCAGGCTCACGTGGTGGCCTCCTCGGCGGAAGCGCCGGTCGCCCCCCCCAATGCTTTGCCCGTGCCCCAGCTCTGGCCGTGGGCCCGGGGCGGGGTGCGACGAGGCCGCGCGCGGCCTGCCCACGCGGGGCAGCCCTGCGCTGGCAGGCCGAGGAGGTCGGGCGCACGCTGGCGTGGACGTGGGCCTTTGGGGCCCGTGGATCTGCGCAGGCCCAGGTCGCAGATGCCCGTGCGCCATCACTGCTCCCTCCTCGATGGCTAGATGGCTGTTCGGGTGGCACCACAATTACACATGCCAGCTAAAAAGATGGTGAAAGTTGGGAGCCCAAGTCGCGAGAGGGACAAAGGGCCACTGCTCCCTCTTTCTCCTCCTCCTCCTCCTCTTCCTCCTCCTCCTCCGCGGAAGTAGGACTCATTCGCGCAAGGGCCCTACGCCTACACGCCGTGGCGCCTGGTCTAGCCACCCGGGCGCCAGCGCGGCGTGCGCTCACAGCGCGCACTCTTGGAGGGACGGTTTGCGCACTGCCTGCAGGCTGCGTTGGTCATGCAGCCTGATGTTGGAAAAGGCTCGGGACGCTGACGCGTGGGGACCAGGGGTGGACAGCATGCCGCGCCGCAGACTGGTGGGCCAAAGCCCGCGGAGCGACACGCTATCCAAAGTTCCCGACTTCTAATCTATGTCTAGAGGCCTCCTATATGGGGTCGGAAGATCGTGCCGTATCGGCAATGCATCGGCGCCGCTGGCGTGGAGAAAATCGGGCTCCACATCGAGCCGCATCACCGATGATCGGCGATGCGGAGCGATCCTTCGACCCCGTCTACTCCGACCGCAACTGGGAGGCCTAGAGTGTCTGCCCTTCCTCGATGAAGTCGGCTGCGCGCAAGAGCGACCCTGGGCAAGAGCGACCTCTGGTGCGGGACTTCCCGGGAGGGGCGAGAGGGGGCCCAAACCGAGCGCGCATGCCGCTGCTACCGCATCTGGTTCAGCGATTGGGGAGACTGAAGGCGACCCAAGCCACCCCTGCTCCCACCACATCACATCGTAATCGTCGCCGCGGGGGCGTGTCGACTACGTCCACAAGCATTCTGGGGAAAATGTAAAAATCATCCTGGTGGGTGTGGGGGTGGATTGTTCTCTCTGTCTCTCTTACTTTTTTTTTTGTTCTCTCTCTCTCGAGAGAGAGAGAACAACAAAAAGAAGAAGAAGAGAGAACCCATGAGCCCGCACCAGAGGTCATTCTGTCGAAGGGCCACTCTTACGCACAAGTCGGGGAAAGCAAGGGCCTTGCACTCGGCACTGGCTCTCCGCGCTGCTCCCCCGACCCTATTCGCGCCCTCGTCCTCGGGGAGGGCGCCAGGCACTCGAGCACCAGGCTTTTCTGCCGCGCGACGCCCCGGGGGGCAGAGGCAGGGAGGAGGCGAAGCGGAGAGCCAAGCCGCCCCGATACGCAGCAGGCACCCCGTAGCGTGTGTTGGCGGCGAGCCCGGGGGGGAAGTCAGACGGGGCGGGCCTTCCCAGAAGTCTCGGAAGGCCTCCGGCCGTCCGAGAAGTTTTCCACGCCTTCTCCGAAGTCGCACCAAAACTGCTCAGAAGGCGCGAGGGTTTGTGATGAGCCCTGCCGCCTTCTGAGAAGGCCTCCTCTTTCTCACCTCCCCCCCTTGCTCGCCGTCGAGTGTTGGCACGGAGCTCAACACGGATATTGGAAACGTACACTTGGCGCGATACGTTCGCCCAAACGCGGGCCGACACGTTGAGCCAACTCGCAGCGTGTCAGCACGGACGTTTTGAACACGGCACGTGTTGCGTTTCAGCACGGGCAGCTGAGAACGAGAGTAGGGGAAGACAACCTGCGTCTGCATCAACTTTCGAAGGTCCGCGCGGATCTCTCGGATCGCAGCTGGGCCCTCCTCCTTCCTAATGCGCGGAGCTTGCCAAGGGGTCCAACTCGGACTCCAGAAATCCATGCGGAACCAGTTTGGGTCAATGGCCGTTATTATTATTACTATTATTACTATTATTATTATGCTTCTTCTGCTTCTGGGAGAGAGAGAGAGAGAGAGAGACAGAGAGAGAGAGGCGCCACCTGGAAGTCGATTCACGAATTCGCAGGTGGTGCTCGCTCCGCGACGGAAGTTCCCGAGGAGGAGGGAGAGGAGGATGAGGAGGATGAGGAGGAGGAGGAGGAGGAGGAGGATAAGGATGATAAGGAGGAGGAGGAGGAGGAGGAGGAAAAGGAGGAGGAGGAGGAGAAGCAGGAGGATCCACCCACGTCTCACAAGAAAAGGCGCCTGGTCAGCTGGCCACCTGAAAGAGCCACGAGGCCAGAGAGCATCCGAGCAAACCCTGCTGGGGCAGACACCAATCATAATGTGGTAAACGATCTGGGCCCCGGCAGCAAGACAAACCAAGTTTCTCAGCAGGGTAGAGATGAGAAGCATGCACCACTATCACTGTGTCCCCATCGGGGGGGGGGGAGACCACTGGGCGGTGGCGGTGTTCCATCTTCTCTGAAGGGTGGAGTGTGGAGCCAAGCCCCGATCGGCAATACATGGGCGATTACAGTAGGTACACAAGTTAAGACATCTCGCTGTAAGATTTCTGGGGGGGGGGCGCACTTGTCGTCGACCTCTGAGGTTCACAAAGCGGCCCCCAGAGCCATCGAGAGATCAGACAATTCAGTGGGGCAGCTGCTGGCAGGCTGGTCTCTTAGTTAATATGCCTACTGCAAAGGTCGATGTCCCCCCTTGGGCCAATTCCCGCCTTTCGGCGCCGCGGCCCCGATCGGTGGATCCGCGCGGGCGTGCGGGGGGCGCCGCGGCCTCCTCAGGGGTGTCTCCAGGGCGCTCTGAGAGCCTCTGGTGCCGACGGGTATGCGGCCAGAGCCAGCAGTGAGGATGCAAGCAAGGATGCAGAAACCTTGAACGTCCGGGCGAACCCATCGCGGAGGCGTCAGGCTGGAACGCCCCAGGATCCGTGCCCGAGAGTGGGCCGCAGAGGCAATGACGCCAAGGCAGCCCTGCCGAGGCGCTGCACCAGGAGCACCGCGAGCGCGCGCGCGCGTTCTTCTTCTTCTTCCTCCTCCTCCTCCTCCTCCTCCTCCTCCTCCTCTTCCTCCTCCTCCCCTTCCTCCTCCGCCTCCTCCTCCACCTCCTCCTCCTCCTCCTCCTCTTCCTCCTCCTCCTCCTCCTCCCCCTCCTCCCCTCCTCCCCCTCCTCCCCCTCCTCCTCGTCCTCCTCCTCCTCCTCCTCCTCCTCCTCCTCCTCCTCCCCGAACTTCCCCTCCTTCTCTTCCTCCTCCTCCTCCTCCTCCTCTTTCAGCGGGGCGTGAAAAGGTTGGGTCTGCACACAGAAAGCCCCTAGAGGTAACCTGGCACAGGCCACACACCCCAGGGTTGCCAGTCCAGGGCGGGCTCTTCCCTTGCTTCCTCACGCGGGCATGACCTCGCAAGCGCAGAGACCCAAAGGTTACACAACACAACAAATCGGAGGCCCGCGCAATAAAAACGATACGAGCATGATAAAAATAAACCACATGACAAACGATAGTACCCCCTTGGCGCCGCCTCCGGCGACGATCCAAGACATCTGCGCGCAGCTCCGAGTTGTTATGCTTGTGTCATCGCTTGTTCCCCAGAAGCGTAACAGGCTGTTCCAAAACTTCCTGTGGCCTGCTCGGCGTCTCTCTTCGCTGGCACGCACCAGCCCCAGGGCGCGGCGCGCCCTGCGGGTCTCCGCGCGGGGTCAACTGTTGAGACTGCCTCGCCTCGGGCTTCATTACTCTGGGGGCCCGTTGGGGCCAGCCTGGGCTGCCTCCCCAGGCCTCCGACGCCTTGACCTCTTCGACACGGGGGCCCCTCCAGCGACCGCTTCCCGCGGACGGGCTTCTTCGTCCCAGAGGGGGCCCCGAGGCGCAGAAGCGGTTCCCAGACGCCAAACAGTCTGAGAAACCTTCGCCCTGATTCCTCGAAAGCCCAGACGCGGTCCCCAGACGCTGAGAGACAGGAGACTTCGGCGGCAACTCATGGGCGCCTCACGTACCCTCTTGTCGGTTCTTGCGAATCGGTGCGGATCGACGCTAAATCGACGCGCATCGACGCGAGATTGGCGCTGTCTCACCCAATGCCAGACGCTAATCGGCGCCAGTGCGCTCGAAAGTCGGAACCACGAGGGCATGCGAGACCCCCATGGCTTGCCATCGAGGGAACACCCTCCGCCTCGATGCTCTGCCAAGGCGCCCGAGGTCCGTGCCCGCTCCTCCGCGGGGCCTCTGCGCGCACCCGACTGCGCACCCTGAGCATGGGGGAAACGGGCCCCGAGGGAAGCGGGTCCTGGCTGGGCACCAATTCACTCGGGCGCGATAGGTGGAGGGGGGAGGGGGAGGAAGGTGCTGCCCTTTGAGGGCCCTGAAAGCCCCCTTCTGGGCCCGAAAGGGGCCCCTCAGGGGCCCTGGAGGACTCCTTTTCGGCAGCCCTCGCTGCCCCCCCCCCACCCCCACCCGTGTATCGCCTCCCCGTTGCGCGGCCTCCGACCTGGAACCCGGGACCTTCCCCCGGGACCAGTTCTTTATCCTGGAAGCCAGAAGCGGGCGAAAAAAACGCAAGGACCCGTTTCCCTCGGATCCGCTTCCCTGAGATCCGACGTAGCGGAAAAAATTGCCACATCGTAAGAAAACACGCTCGGAGCCATAGACCCCACCTTTCTGCGTCATGTTTCGAGCCGGATCGATCTGTCAGTATTCAAAAAAAAACGAAAACGCCCGGCTCGAAAAGAAATCAAACGCCAGGATCTCATGGTTCCCCCATGTCGACGCTGGCAGCGGTGGTGGCCCGCCCCCCGGGCGGCCTGCCCGGCGTCACCGGCTGGCACCCGGAGAGGAAGCCGTACTGGCGGGCGCGCCGCTCTCTCGGGGGCGGCCAAGAGGGGGGCGTCCAAGGGGGGGGGGGCGCAAATCACGGCTGGCAGCAGGTGCTCGGCCCAGGGACGCATTGAAATGAGAAGAGGCGCTGTGAAATCTGGGGAACTATCATGGCCCCCGCCATGTCTCCCCCCCCGCCCCTGGTCATCGACCCCCTCCTGGCCGACCCCGGCTCTCTCCGCGGCGGAGCGCGGCGCGGGGGGGGGGGGCGGCGGCCAGGGCGCGGGCCCAGAGGCTCGGAACCCTGCGAGGCGGAGGCTCGTTTCGGCGGTTTCCGAGGGCGGGGTCCTGAGGGATCCAGGGGGTGGGAAAGGATCCGGGGATGGATTTGCGCCGGGTCCTCAAGACAGGAAGGGATCCTGGGGTCCTGATTCGATCTAGGAAGGGATCCAGGGATAGAGTTGTGCTGGGGTCCTCAGGATATTAAAGGATCCTGGGGTCCTGATTTGATCTAGGAGGGATCCTGGGGTCCTCAGGATAGGAAGGGCTCCAGGGACGGATTTGCGCTGTTTTGAAGCACCTCGTCCTCATAGGAACCCATCGGCTACACGCAGGAGTGACCCTGGGCAAGAGTGACCTCTGGTGTGCTTTGCTTCGAGGATGGGGTCCTGAGGGATGGGGTCCTGAGGATAGGAAGGGCTCCCAGGATGGATTTGCGCACGTAGCTGCCCCGATGCACAACACGCAACACGTAGCTTGTTGACACAAAGCTCCACACGCAAACTAAAAACGTAAGTCTGGCGCGATACCTTCGCCAAAACGTGGACCAACATGTGCCGAGCCAACACGCACCGTGTTGACACGGACGTGTTGAACACGGTACGTGTTGCGTTTCGATACGGGGTGCCAGGGCAGCGAATTGCGCTGTTTGAAGCACCTCGTGCTTAGGACCCCATCGGATACACGCAAGAGTGACCCGATTCTAGAGTGACCTCTGGTGTGCGGGGTAAGGTTCGCAAAGTGGCCAAATCCAAGCGCAGAATCAGCCCGTATCGCATCGTCAGCGATCGAGGGGGGGCCCGATGAGCCCGCACCAGAGGTCACTCCGGCGAAGGGCCACTCTTACGTGTTGTCTACCCCATCTTTGAACCCCCGATCCTCCGCCTTCCACTCCCCCAGGCCTCCAACGTTCGGCGGCGCGCCCGGGAGGGGAAGTGAGAAGGGGCGGGCCTTCTGAAAGGGCTCGAAAGTCTCCCCTGGCCTTCTGATAAGTTTTCTGAGCTTCCCCAGAGAGACAGAAAGCCTCCCAGAAGGTGCGAGGGCTTCTGAGAAGTCCCGCCGCCTTCTGAGAAGGCCGTCTCCTTCTCACTGTCCCCCCTCGCTCGCCACCGATTGTTGCCGTCCTCCTTGTTGCATGTCTTGTAGGACCGCTTTGAAGCACGCTGCTCATCCCTCTCGGGGCGCCTCTGCTCGCTTCCCATGCTGGACATCTTGGAAGGTCGTGGGCCTCTGGGAGACCACCACGCGCGGGGGCTGTGCCGCAGCCGCCCCCGATGGACCCTCTCTCAAGGCCTCCCGCTCCCACTCCCCCGCGGCGCGCTCGGAGGGAGGCCCGAGCGGGCGCGACACGGAAAGAGGAGGCAGACAGCACAAGGGTAGCACAGGCCCCTCTCCTCCCCATGGCCAGTTCATCTCTGTTCCTTTCTCTCTATCTCTCTCTCTCTCTCTCTTTCTCTCTTTCTCTCTCTCTCTCGTGCTTATTTTGCTTTCTCTCGAAACTGGCCGTCGCGCCACGCCCCACGCCGAACAACCAGGGTACAAGCAAGACCCGGGGCTCGACGAGGGAGTAGCATCACACGCCCGAGGAGACGAAGCAAGGCAGGAGCCAGGGACACGGTCATGGGGCCCGCGGCGAAGGCGATGCGCGCCTGTGGGTCCAGACGGGCTCATATGCCATTTCATCGGGGGATGGGCTCGGAGAGGAAGAGTCTGGATGCTCAATCGGATGCTCTGGCAAGCTTCGGTCAACTGCCGCTGGCCCTTCCATTTTCCCAACTGAGAGTCGTAATACACGTGACACACGAATACGGGGAGCACCGCCGTCCACTCCGCGGCACATGGAGGAACATGCTGCCCCATGACGTTCAGGACATGAGCAGCACGCACGGCAACATCACGACAATGATCATCACGGATCGTCGCTGCTTCCACTGGCTTCTTGAGGCGTGGTAGATTGGCAAGTGCTGTCTGGTAGGGTTCCAAGGGATCTGATAAGGCCCTCCACTCGTTACACTTCCCTGCATGCACTGCCCCACCCCTCTCCAGAGGCTCCCTGGGCCGTCCTGACACCTCTTGGGGGCTCTCGAAGGCTCTCCGCGGTCCCCAAGGCGGCTCATGAAGGTCACCAAGGCCGCCCAGATGGCCCAATACTGCCGCAAGACAAACCCCAGAGCCCTGAAGAAGCGCCCAATAGGTCCCATGAGACCTCCAACCGGCCTCAATGCACCCCCTATACGCTCCCCCGGAGGCTCTCGAGAAGCCAAACACATTGTTGTTTTAATACTTTGGTTCGTAAAATGTTTCGCTTTCTGCGCTTTTTGGTCGAAGACTGGTTCACTTGCGGTTTTCGAGAGCCCAAAGGAGCCTACTGAGAGCCCCCAAAGGGCCACTAGACGTCCCAGGACGGCGCCCCCAGAGAGCCCCCGTGTCCCAAGGCAGCCCCACGAGACACCCCAAACTGCCAAGAGAGCCCCTAGTACGGCGAAATAGGGACCCACGACTGCCCAAGATGCGTTCCCAGGGACCCCCAAGACTGCCACTCAGGTGCCCAATACAGCCGAGGCCAATACAGCTCCAAGACGGCCCAAATAAGCTCCATGAGAGCCCTTCAAGAAGTGGAAGCGAGAAGTGTCACATGAGATGGCCTTCCAGGCATTGCTTGGCGGGTCGCCACACAGAATGTTTCGCTGGCGCGGTGGCGGATTTGCCGCAGACAGCCGACTAGCACCAGGGAAAACCTGACCCGAGACCTCGACGGTACGATCGGTACTCAGTACACAGAAGGTGAATGAGCGGGATGACGCGGCGATCGCCCACGCCATCGATTGACTCTGTGGCTCAGGGCGTCTTGGCCAAAGACGGGATCGGAGGTCCACAGCCCATCGGTGAGGAGCCGCCCCCCTCCCCAGTCTTGGCCGACTCCTGCTGGTCGTGGCGGCCTAGAATTGCATACGGCGACTCGAGGCTTTCAAGACGTAGTCCCCCGGACCTCTCGACCCCTTCCCTGGGTCGGCTTTTCCTCGCGAGCCATCTTCTGAAAGCCCTGGGGCCCCAAACTGGCCACCAAAAACCCTGACCGACGACACGTTGGCCAGCTCCAGGGTTCCCGTTAACAGGGACTTCGATTGACCAGGAAACTGGCCCGCTCGAGAAAACTGCAACCGCTGGTCGAAGCATCCTCCGTTCTGTGTTCTCCTGGGCCGGACCTGGCCACGCCATGGCTTGCACTGTCCTGGCTCCCGGGGATTTCGAGTGCTTCGAGCCGCCCGGCGCCCGGGGCGCCCCAGTGCGCCAGGATCGGGGGCGCCCATGAGGCGGGCGTCCCAGTGGTGGGGTTCGCAAGCCCTGGCCCAAGACACGTGCGCGGCCGGGGGGGAGGGGGGCCCTGGGATGCGCTGAGAGAAAAGAAGGCGGCCACGAGATCCGGGGAGATACCATGGCCCTGGCCATGATATCCAGCCCCCTTCCAAGTCCCCCCCCCCCCCCCTGTTGGACGCCCCCCCGAGCGGAGGAAGTGCCCGCGAGGCCTCATCGGGCTGGCAGGGCCACCTGCCGAGTGGCCCGTTGGCCTCGCGAGAAGGGGCCTGCGCCGCTCGCAGGGCGAGACTGAAGGCGGACGGGTGGAACGACTTCTGGGCGTCTGTTGACAGAAGATCTGAAGCGAGATGCTTCCTACTTGTACTGGTCGTCTCCTTCCTTCGCCTCCTCCTACTTCCATGCGACCGTTGCAACAACCAACGAGCTCGGGTGGACCCAGCAACACACAAAGGAATGAGCTGGCAGGCGCACTCGCAGCCCGTCATGGCCAAGACCTCCTCCTCCTCCTCCTCCTCCCCTCCTCCTCCTCCTCCTCCTCCTCCCCCTCCTCCTCCTCCTCCTCCTCCTCCTCCTCCTCCTCCTCCTCCTCCTCCTCCTCCTAGGATGAAGAGCGTCTTCTTCAGAAGTTCGGCATGGCGCCAGAGGAGGTGGCCAAACATGTGGCAGATTGACTGAGGCTGTCAGCCCGCTGAGTCCCTGCCAGCCCTCCAGCCAGGTTTCTGAGGCGAGTTTGCAGGTTCCTAGAGACCCCATCGGAGCTACCTTCAGAAGAGGAGTCTTGTCAGATTTTTACTCATTCTTCCCTTAGGCAGCCCAGTCTGGCCCCACCTTCTTCGCGCGCCACTTCGGCGCCTCCCAGCCTGGCTCCGAGCAGCTCTCTGCCTGGCAGCTCAGCGACACCCCTTGCGAGCAGTCCCAGGCCGAGGCAGAGGATATTGCAACCTGCTCGCCTGATCTCAATTCGGCACTCAATTCGGATGCTTGAGCTGGCCCATCTAGGCCACCTCGGGCACGCTCAGCTAGAGATCCTCCAGAGGCAAAGCACCCAACCCATTCGACAGTACCAGTCGGGGGAGGTGAAATTCGAAGCGTACTATTCTGAGCCTTTGGAGTTTAAACTAACGGTCATTCAGGCCCTTAAGAGGGCCGCTCAGGTCAGGCAGGTCCCCACTAACCTCGAGTCCTCTCCCTTCGCTGCTGATGCGCGCGCCTCGAGTGCGCTGCTTGCTCCTCCTCTTTTTCCACCTTCGCCTGAGCCACCACCACCTGAGCCTGAGTTTCGCACGTAGCGGCACGCCCCCCTCCGTTGCCTGCTGCCCCTTCCGCGGCTGCTGCTGTTGCCTGCTCTCTTCCTTCTCCTGGCCTCCGTGTGGCGTGCGTGGGTGTGTGTGTGTGTGTTGTGTCTGCGGTGTCCTGTTTCTTCTCGCCCGTCGTCCCCCCTCTTCGTCGTCGTTGCTGGGCTGTGGCCTAGGATTGAATTGGAGGAGACTCTCGACTCTCCCTTCCAATGCGAGCCTGCCGCTGGAGGATGGTGCCCTTGTAGGCCGTCATGGGGCTGTCTCCCCACAGGACGGTCCTGCTTAGAGCCAGTGGTTTTCCCCCAGCGAAGCTGCAGGCTATAGCCCCGTGCTATTCGCAGATCATGGTACATATCTGTTGCTCATGAGCAAAGCGTTGCAATCAGGACTATCTAACCAGGGTCGTAAGCGTTCCAGTCCAGTCCAGTCCAGTTCAGTCCAGTCCAGTCCTCCTCCAACTCTTCATTCTCCTCTCCCTCCCACGCCTCCTCCTCCTCCCTCCTCCTCCCTCCTCCTTCTCCTCCTCCCTCTCCTCCTCCCTCCCCTCCTCCCTCCTCCCTCCTCCCTCCTCCCTCCTCCCTCCTCCTCCTCCTCCCTCCTCCCTCCTCCCTCCTCCCTCCTCCTCCTCCTCCCTCCTCTCCTCCTCCTCCCTCCTCCTCCTCCTCCTCCTCCTCCTCCTCCTCCTCCTCCTCCTCCTCCTCCCTCCTCCTCCTCCTCCTCCTCCTCCTCCTCCTCCTCCTCCTCCTCCTCCTCCTCCTCCTCCTCCTCCTCCTCCTCCTCCTCCTCCTCCTCCTCCTCCTCCTCCTCCTCCTCCTCCCTCCTCCTCCTCCTCCTCCTCCTCCTCCTCCTCCTCCTCTCCTCCTCCTCCTCCTCCTCCTCCTCCTCCTCCTCCCTCCTCCTCCTCCTCCTCCTCCTCCTCCTCCTCCTCTAAGATCCTCGTCGTCCTCGCGCCGCGGTCCCCACCTTGCTGTAAATCTTCTCGCAGTCATCCGACGTGCACTGGGCTGCGTCGAAGGCGAAAAACGGCGCGAAGTTGGAGTGGTGGACGTTCCAGAACTCCACCACGGGCCTGGCCGCCGGTCCGCCAACGGGCTGCGGGTCCCTGCGGCCCGCCCCGAGGTGGCGCGGGCTCCGATCGAGCGCCAGAGGATAAAAGGTCCCTGGGACACACAAATAAATAGACACAAATCATAGGATCCCCCATGTTTTCCCATATTTTCTGGGTGTTTGTCTTCCCCTCCACTTCCCACGCCTTCCCATATTTTCCGGGGAGTTGACGATTAATCGTGTCTTTGCGTTCTCTCCCCTCCCGAGAGAAGCACGACACAACTCTGCACGCCGATGCCCAAACTCGCGGGCTCGGACGCCGCAGCGCACGACCTGTCCACAGCCGGCGTTGCGCTTGCAGTCCGGGGGAGGCGCCAGCCCCGCCTGGGCGTGAGCTGCTGCGCCCTTCCCTCCAGCAGGGATGACACCCTGCCCGACGGGGCGCTCCCCTCGCGGGCATCGGGCCTGCTCGATCCCGGCGCTGCGTGCGTCTGCCGCCCCTGCCTCTCTGGGGTGGCCGCGGGGAGGGCCAAGAGCAGAGCGGTGAGGAAACGAGGGCGGGTCGGGCCCTACAGGCTCGCCCCCTGGAAGGGCAAGACGAACGATGGGATGATCGACTCCGCCTCCTCCTCCTCCTCCTCCTCCTCCTCCTCCTCCTCCTCCTCCTCCTCCTCCTCCTCCCCCTCTTCTTCTTCTTCTTCTTCTTCTTCTTCCTCCTCCTCCTCCTCCTGTATCCCTTGTCCTTATCCACCACCGTGCCCCCTGGCACGTTGAGGCGTGCTAGAATGCCACATGCTGCCTGGTAAGGTTTTTGTGATCTGTGGGCCCCCCCCTCCAGGTCGCACCTCGCCGCGCGCATTCGGCCATGCTCCGGGGCGGTCCATGGGCGGCCGGGGCGCCTCCCTGGGGCTCTCCAAAGCGTCAATTAAGGCCCTGGAGGCCCCCAAGACGGTCCAGGAGGACCCCGAGTCACCGAACGATCGCTCGAAGACGCCCAAGATGGGCTCAAGATGGCGCAAGAGCCTTCCAAGGCGCCCCAAGAGGCCTGAGGTCTCCCAAGAGGGCACCCAAAGGCAAAACTCATGGGTTTTCCTTCTTTCGTTTTTGAAGGATTTTAGCGTTCTCGCCTTTTCGGCTTTCCGATGCTCCAGGAGGGCCCAACAGGCGCCCAAGACCACCCCGAACCGACCCTAGGGGCATCCAAGAGGTCCCCAAGAAGGCCCCAAGACGGCCTCAGAGCGCCCCAAGACCTCCCAAAAGGCGCCCAAGACGGCCCAAGAGGGCCTCAAGACGGCCCCAAAAGGGGTCCCAGGGAGGGAAGACGAACCGAAAATCCGAGCCTTCCGCCCCAAGGGGCCCCAAGAAGGCCCCAAGAGGCACCCAAGAGGCCCCAAGAGGTCCCCAAGAGGCCCCCCAAGAGGACCCCAAGAGGACCCCAAGAGGGCCCCAAGAGGCCCCCTAAGAGGCCCCCAAGAGACCCCAAAACGGCCCCCAAGAGGCTACAAAACTGCCTCCACGAGACCCCCGAGAGGCCTCCCAGGAGATTCCAACGAACATCCACAAGGCGTAAAACCCACAGCTCGTGCAAGGAGGCGGGACTTGCCGTAAGCAGCTGGATCGCCTCACTTCGCGTTCTCGCGCTGGCTTTGAGGCTCCGAAAGCTAAGCGCGGTCATACTCGCGCCTTAGCGGGTGACTCAGGTCATAGCTCAGCGCGGGGGTGCAACAACGTTCTGCAAGAAGTCAGGCCCTCGGTCAACTTATCTCCTATAGATACCCCGAAGGGCCTCTCGTCTTGCCCAGAGTCTCGCCCCGCTCAGACTTTATAAAGCCAAAACAACATCCACACCATCAACCGAGGATCGTGATGTCTGGCCCGGGGGGACGGGGGAGCTCGAGGGCAGCAGCGCGGTCTGATGTGTCCCTGACAGGAGGTCGACAGCCGCGAAGGCATCTATCTCCAACGCCAATGTGCGGAACCCATTTCCAGATCTTCTCTCAAGGAAAGCGCTCAACTAATGATGATCGGGTACCCTGATGTATTACAGACTCGTTCTGCCACATATAGACATGAATACGTCTTGTATACATCTGGCGTAGATGCCTCTTTCCTGTTGTCACAAAGTGTTTGTGAAAACTGCGTAGGCCATATGAGCAACGGGGTGTGCAATTCACAACTTCGAGTCGTATATGTATCTCACTCCAACCACTGGTTGCGCTTTCTTACGTGCGCCGTTGCTTGGATACCATTTGCCCGTCTCTCTCTCTCTGTCTTTCTGAAGATATAATACGGGGTCCAGGGTCCCGCCCCATCCCGTGGGTATGTTCACCCCCTCCCCCTGTGGTGTTGTGGTTTTGGGGGCTGTGCGTGCATGCTTGTGTGCATCTGTGTCCCCTGTGGGTGTCGTGTGGTGCGGTGGGTGCTCCAGGGAGCAGTAGGGCTCCCACCTTGCAGCGAAGGGGGGGGGGCTTCCAGGAGAGGTCCGGAGGTGGTGGTGGTGGTGGTGGTGGTCGTGGTCGCTGTCCTCGTCGTCGTCGTGGTCGTAATCTTCGTTGTCATCGTCGTCGCCGTCGTCGCCGTTGTCGTCCTTGTCGTGGTGGTGGTGGTGGTCGTCGTCCTTCTCCTCGCCGTGGTCGTCGTCCTCCTCCTCGCCGTGGTCGTCGTCCTCCTCTTCCTCGCCGTGGTCGTCGTCGTCCAGGGGGGGGTGGGAAAGCTGGGGTGGAGAGGTGGCGACCGACACCCTGGATCACATATTCCTGTCGATGTCCGTGCGTTTCTCTAGCAGCGTCTCCGTGGATCTGTGTGTGCGTGTGTCTCGCTCTCTCTCTCTCTCTCCCTCTCTCTCCCTGGCACCCTTTATCCTGCACAGACTGCCACTTGGGCTTCAAATATCGGCCTGCGCTGAAACTCGATGGGGGGCTAGTAGCAACGAGTGTCAAGGAAGTCTGCGAGGATCTGCGCACATCATGCCCACATACAAAGAATCCCCGAACACGCCATAACGTATCGTGTCATGATTTGCAGCGGCCTGCAATCGTGGATGATCCATACTGGGAATCACTGCTGAGCAACTCCTGATGCCTCTACGGGATGCAGAATGCGCATGTGCCTTTCTATCACCTCAGAGGAACCAGATATGTTCATATGTCATCGAGAAATGAGTGTACAATGGCATTGGAAGGCGCTTTAATCGAATCCGGCGTCTGTCCTGAAGGTCATCTTGTATCTCCTGATTCTGTCGATGCCGTACTTTCTATGCGGCGAACCGACGATCTCATTGTGCAGATACCACATGACTCCTCGGGAGATCAACGGTCGCACAGATAACACAAGCACCATGTAATGCATGATCCCTGATCTGCGTCATCACGCAACGCCCGCCCACCTTGCCAGGATGAGGCGGATAATGGCGAGAAACGCAACAACGATAATGATGGGGGAATGGAGACGACAGGGGGGAAGAGGAAGGAGCGGGGGCGTATTGGACGAGGAGGAGGCAGGAAGAGAGATGACAGAGGAAGGGTGAAGATAAGGAGGATAATGAGAAGGATGGAGGCGAGAGGAGGACAACGAGGCATGAGAAAAGGGCACGGATAATGGATGGGGAGGAGGATGAAGTTGGAGGAAACAGGGGGGAGGGATGATGAGAAAAGAGGGAGGATGATGACGGAGGGATGCTGGCACATGGAGGAGGGGGGGAGAAGGGGGCAATAGGAAGGATGGCCAAGGAGGAGGCGGAGGAGTGGGAGGAGGAGGATAATCATGAGGGCGGGGGGAGAAGGAGGAGTGAAAAGGGAGGACGCTATAACGTTGAGGAGCGAAGAGGGAGAGGTGGACGAGCAGAGGAGGAGAAACGAGGAGAGAGGGGTAGAGGGCGTTTGGGGGGCGTGGAGGCAGGGAAGCGGAGGGAGCACAGAAGAAGCAGGGGGGGAGACTCCTCCTCCTCCTCCTCCTCCTCCTCCTCCTCCTCCTCCTCCTCCTCCTCCTCCTCCTCCTCGGCCCGCTCCCGAGCCGCTGAACAGGCCGGCCTGCCGGCGAGCACGCCCCCCGTGGTGTTGTTCCGCCGGCTTCCGCGCGGGCCTGGTCCGCGGGTGTCCGCGCAGGGGGCATCGGGAGCCGCGGTCGTTTCAAGACCCTCCGAGACGCGCCGAGAACGTCCTGGGACGCTCCTGAACGGTTTCTCTTCGGCCTGAGCCTGCCTGACATCCCCCCGCTCCCTCGGCGCAATCCTCCAGAGCTGTGACCTTCCTCGGCGTGGATCGCGAAACCCTCGACCTCGCTCCCCGGACAAGCTCTTCGCCGCCAGAAAGAAGCGCCCAGACAGCACAATCGCTGGCAAAAGTCCGCCAGAGCTGACCCCCATATCCCGTATCCCAAGTATGGGCTTCTTGTTATCAGTAGCACGCCTCCGCTTCGCCCTCACTCCCGCCTCACCTTGCGACTCACTCATGCTCGGACGCACTTACACTCAGACCACTCATACTCATACTCACTCGCACCCAGTCCCACTCATACTCGGGCTAGCGCGAAATCATAGCCAATTCTATTCAGAGCCGCTTGCGTGCAGGCTCGCCCATACTCCAGACTCAATCGTCCTCAGACTTTTTAGTCGTACCCCAAATTCGCCCAGACTGGTCTGCGCGAAGAAGCAAGCATGGCATTTCGGCGCCCCGTGGAGAAGCCGCCAGTGGGTATGACACGCTGACTTGTTCACGCCCAGGTTGTGGGGACATCTGATACAGCATGTACGTGCTGGGTCTTGTTCTTCGGAAGAAGGAATTCGTGTCTTCTTGCAAGTCCGCGTGACCATCCCTACCTAGCAGGCATGGTTATGTTAGGTTAGGACAGCCCCAAAGGGAAGGGGCTCGCAAACATGGAACAACGATTTGGGGGTGAAACCCATCAGAGAAGATTTGTGTCACCCCAGGGGGGTGCGTGGAGGAAGAGGAAGGGATGAAGAGGAGGATGAGGAGGATGAGGAGGGGGAGGAGGAGGAGGAGGAGGAGCAGGAGGAGGAGGAGGAGGAGGAGGACGAAGACAGGACATGGTGCCACCCTCGAGAAAGCAACGCCTCCTCGGCCTGAGCTTCCCTGCCCCTCACCCCCTCGCGGACGGCAACATCCTCTCTGCTCGTGCAGGGGTCCCGGTCTCTCTCTCTCCGGAGAAAGCCGACGCCACAGCAGTGTGCAGGACCCTCCTCCCTCCTCCTCACTCCTCCTCCCTCCTCCCCCTCATCCTGCCAGCCTCCCTCATCCCTCCTCCTCCCTCCTCCCTTCTCCTCCCTCCTTGAGAGTAACGCGCATGGCCCTAACACTATCTGTCGAATTACTATACTGCCTGGCCTGACTGCTGGGTCCGAGGCCGCTGCAGTGCTTACGGGTCAACACAAGGTCTTCCTTCGGTCGGAGGCAGGGCCCAGCAATCTATTCCAAGAATAACGTTGGGCCTGGTGACCACATTGAGCACGCAACATCTGCACACGGATCCGTTTGGTCCGAATGCGCCCTGGAGCTCCAGGGTGGACCTCATGGGCCGCAGCGCCGACGAGCAAGTAACTCTCCGGTCGGCGAACGAGGCTCGCTACGAAATCATGGGCCCCCAACATATGCCAGGGCATCTTGGCTCTCGTTCTCATGGGCGATCATCAAGCCATGCTTGCACGGCACACCTCGGGGACCCTCCGCCCACTCGTGCCACCCTGGGGGGGAGCAAATCGACCGAACACAGGCGAGACGTCGCTCCCGCTGGGCGCGGGATTGGTACAGGGGGGGAAGGATCGCGGCATCGATGGAGACTGTCAGTAGCTAGGCATCTAGCCGAGCCGCTACACCAGGATGTAATCCAGCATGGGGATGGCCTCTTTTAGCCTGGGCGTCGGCAGCGCTGTTACCTTTCGCAGCAGCGCGCTCTTCCAGCACAAAGTTCGATATCGCGTCCATGCAGCTGTGGGCCGTCGCATGCTGTGTTGGTTCTACATATCCAAAGCCAGGTATGGACCGAACAACCGCTGGTACCCCTGCAAATACTTGGTTGGTACGACGCCGATCGTGATCGGGTCTTATCGTTGCCTTACGGTCAGTGTGCACTTGCGATGATTCTGACACCAGTCTGGCATGTCACTGCTAACGAAAAATATCTGCCATAGCTGGTGTCTGCGGAAAGCCTCCATGCACAGTGCCACGCAATCCAGACAGAGAGACAGAGAGAGAGAGGGACTTGGACTCAGACGAAGCAGCAGGGTACGTGGCACGCTGGAAGCACAGCAAGGTTGGCATCGAACTGCTACCGTCGACCGCCATGGTCAAACTGGAGCCTCCACCTGCAAACCGAATGGACTCTTCAAGCTCCAGGGCGTCCGAAAGGAGGCCTCCACCATTGAAGGCCTTCGCTGCTGGGGCAACGGCCACAGGGAAATGTCGTCAGATCCTTCGCAGGCGCCCCCTCTGGCTTGGACAACCGCAGAGAGGGAACAAGTGTAGGGCCTATGGCGCGCCGTGTCTAGCTCACCGCATTCTCGCTGGTGCCCAATACATCTGCCACCGTGCCTCTGGCACGAAGCGGTGTGCCCCAAGGGTCACAACTGTGCTGCAGCAGCCAAGATTGTGCTAACAACGAAGTACTGTAGTGTCTTAAGGGCCCGGACCACAAATTTCCTGGGCGCTCTTGGCGCTCTCAGGGTGTTCCGCATGACCTCTGGGACGGCTGCAACCCACCAGCGACCCGCAGACTTTTTCGGAGCTCCCCAGCGAGCGCCCCAGGCGGTCAAGGAACGCCTCTTGACGGCCCAAGACGGCCCCCAGACGGCCCAAGAGGCCTCCAATATCTCTACATGTTCCAAGAGGCCCCCAAGAGGCCTCCCAAGAGGGCCCCAAGGCGCACACAGCATAGCATTTCCGTCGGTTTTTGCAAGTTTTTGGAGCACTCGCGTTTTCGGCTTCCCCGCTCCAGGACGGCCCAAGAGGCCCCCAAGATCGCCCCAAGCCAGCCCCAAAGGCCCCCAAGACAACCCCAAGGCAGCCCAAGAGGGCCCCAAGACGCTCACAAAGGTCTCCAAGACGGCCCAAGAAGCCTCCAAAACGGCTCCCACATGGGGCCTAGACAGGGCCCCCCCAACGAACATTTCGAGTACGCGGTCCCGAGAAACCCCCAGGAGGCCCTAATGGGGGTCCCGAAGAGGCCCTAGGAGGCCCCCTGAAGGCCTCCCGGATATCCCAACGGGCAACCCACAGGCCTACGGCCCATAACCCAGGCACGGTGGCGGGATGGGCTGAAAACCATTGGGTATCTTACCCACCGGTGCGGTTCGCGCTCCGATCAGGAGTTCCCTACTCTCATGGGGAAACACCGAGTGCCCCCCCAGCGCAATCGCATGGGCAGCCTGGACAGAGGCCTGGGGCATCCTGATCATCCCAGTGAAACCTGTGCTAGTTGCTAGTTGGATTTCGATGCCGTCGTAAACCCTCCACGCGGTGGCTGACGCAGGCGCCCGCCGAGCGCTGCCAAGGCAGGGCGGTTTGCGGAACATCGGGCCACGGGTGCGGGCTCGCGGGGTCTCACGACCACCCTAGACAACACTATTTCGATGCATTCTAAATCGGGGAGGCGCACGGGCGCCCCAGCGGGGGAAGTGGCAACCTGCTGAGCAGCTCTGCGCCACTGGATACCTGGGACAAGAGCCTCGCCAACGGCGGGGTTTGCGCCTCGCGCGCGAGAGCGATCGCCCGAGATCTCCGTGCCAAGGTGGGAGACATCAGGCTTTGCTTTATTCTTGGCCAAACCTATCTTGACTGCCACCTCCTGCGCTAGCTTGGGGTCGCCCGCCGCCGCAGCCGCCTGATCGGCGAGCGTCGCCTGCAACATCTTGGGCGTCACGCCAGCGATTATCTCGCGATATTGCCGCTGGCGAGGCTTCCAGCGTAGTCGACGTAGCTCGCGAAAACGATCGACGGGTACTTAGCAGCGACGAGGTCGCGCTCCGCGATCGCGAGGCACGCGCCGCCGCGTCGGCGAAGGCGCGCCGCGCAGGCAATCCTAGGGTTGCGAACAATGCCCATCCACAACTGCACAACACAAGTCGCGCCATCCGTGGAGACGGCCACGCGTTGAACATCGGCTTCGCCATCGCCGCCGGCACCCCGAAGGCGAGCGCGCGATCTCGCGGCGCCTCGAGCGGGGCCCCCTCGCCGCTGCCTCGCTGCGGCCCGCCCGATGTCAGGGCCGATCCAGCGCCCCGCGGCCAGCAGCGGCCGTTCAGAAAAAGGCCAGTAGAGCTGGGCGCGCATGGCGCCAGCGTCGCAGC